GAAGCTTACTATTTGTATACAAATATACAAATTTACAATCAAACTTTGTATCTTATTATTGTAATGTATAGTTGTATACGATATACATACGATGTAGGTACTATAAAATAATATAATATCCAATACTGGTTTTAAAAGGCTTTAGGTGCTGAATAAAATTAAAAAAGAAATACATCAATTTTAAACTCAAAACTTTTAAACAAAACATAAATATTTGCATTCGTCAATTACTCCTTTATCRGTAATGACAGTTGTTAAATTCAAATTTCAATATACCCGCGACGTACATTTCGTCACACTTTATTTTTCGACCTACAACGGTACCTATAAATGTAGTTTATTCTATTAAGAATAGTTCATAGAATCCCATATTTTTAAGGTAAGTGTTATCATTATGTAAGCAAATATGTAGTAAACAAATATTTTAATTTCAACATTATTGCATAGATACTTAGAATGTTTTGGAAACTAAGTTAATCTTGTATCGACAGAATCCGCTCTATAAGGCTTGAAATAAATACACGATCTGATGCTTAAATATGTATATTCTATATATTATATTGATCTACTAAATATTCTTAAAATATGACGCATTATTTCAAAATGTTAATAAGTTATTTTATTTTCAGCCATCATAGTCAACCTGTCTTTTTKAAACCATTGAAAAGTTACTTAATCTATATTTTTTTTAAATGTGAATAATGTTTAAAAAAAAACTTACAATAACTCTATTCAGTAACCTTACATTATTCAATAGACGCGTTCAATGTTCACAAACATAAAATATCTAAAACGTATAAAGACCCTTGGTTTTCTTTTCAAAAAATACAAATACAAAAAAGAAACCCGAAAGATTATCTGAAAGGCACTCCCGTAAAATTATGAATCACGTATTCACGTTGAACTTTCTAAAGCCCACTATCGTTGGTGGTCGCTCACTCTCTTTTTGAGAAAACGTAACCCGCTAGTTTCCTGGAGGCGTAAAGCCTGAAGTTACTTGCGAAGTCCAAATAAAAATTAAAAAATAAATATTCTTATGATAATGATAATAATAATAATAATAATAATAATAATAATAATAATCAAAGCAAGAATTAAAAAAAACACGTACCTTTGGTACTATATTCCGGCGAAGAAACACGTCTAGTAAGCTACACGCTGGATGAAAAACCGCCTTAAACTCGTCTCTCGTGGTAGGAACTAAACTGTGACGGGTCCGGTGGAATTACCACGGCCGCCGTTCTTGTTCCGGGCTAACAACCGGGTCAGGTATGTGTGTCAGCGCGGAGACGAGATAATGTTCCCCACTAAAAAACCCACTCTCGTTCCGGGACGATTTTCCTTTCGCGCACGTTTAACACTACCTATACACGACTTCAACGGCGGCACCGCTGACCGTTTTACGTGCCGCTTGGAAGCTCATCGAGGCTCGACTACCCTTTTGGAATATAATAAATGGAAAAATAAATGCCGTCGACTACGAGTGATGCACAAACAAATTGATAATACTGTTTTACGAAGAACTAGTCGTCGATATTTTTATTCCTGACGCCGTCGACTATTCAACGCGTCCTCCCACCTCTATCCCACCACAATACACATACACAGACGCGCGCGCATGAAATCTTGT